AAAATGTGTGATTAATAATCAAAGTTGTAACTAAGTGGGGTTACAACTTTGATTATTAATCACACATTTTAACTTCCTCATTATTTTGATGATGTAACCCTACTCACATCTTACCAATCTTCCCCCCACTTAGTTACAACTTTGATTATTAATCACACATTTTAACTTCTTCATTATTTTGATGATATAATCAACAACCCACACTAACTGTTATTTTGATTTTGACAAACCTAATGTACACACACACACAACATAATTGTATATATATTTGCGACTGTACAGCTAAGTGAATGAATTCGCCGAAAAGAGACTCTTCGCTGAACAAAAAATTAGATGACTTCAACTTCTCAGACGATTTATGTCTAGTGTCACACAAAACTTTGAAGAATCTCAGGAGAAAGTTAGTAAACTAGCAGAGTAGGCTGGTAGCAAAGACAGGACTCCAGGTGAACATAGAGAAGATGCAGGAGTTGGAAATAACCAACAAAAAACAACAACCTGCATCAATCAATTTGAAAGGGATGGACTACGTGGCTTGATGGCATTGTTTGAATTACAGCTAGAGTGGGTAACGATGTTAAAACAAGATTCCGAAAGGCAAGGTACACCTTCATCACTCTGAAATCAGGTTTCGAAATCTGCTGCATTACACAACATAAAATAACAGGATTCGGATTCTGTCCAACACCAATGTTAAGTTGGTTCTTCTAAATGGGTCAGAATGTATGCGCATCAGGAAAAGCATTTCGAAATGGTTGCAGACCTTCATCAAAATCTGCCTTCTGTCTCTATTGAAGATCTTATGTTCGGAAATAAATAGCAACACAAAAACCTGGGGACGGATCAATCAACAACCTATTGCTCAAAGAAATGGAGGTGGATCGGTATTCCAGCTGGATAGACTGTTCAGTTGAACTCGAAGGAAAAACAATGAGTTTGGCGTCATTCGAAGGCTGATACTGGAGGGATGAAAGCTAAAGAGGACTGAAGAGAATAAGACAAAATTAGGATATGCTGTTGAAGCCCTGTTTTCCACTCGCAACTCAAAGGAATGATAATCAGTTAAGGTTACTTAAGCAAATACAGTGGATAAAGTAATATTTAATAACTTCGGGAATTAACGCGCCCATGTCAGATTCTTTAAACGTGTATCAAAGAGCTTTGGTTTAAAGGAACCATGAATAGTTCGAAGAAGTCAATTACCAAGAACACCTGACAGACATGGCAGCATCTAAAATAATTAACAGACGAAGCAGTTCAAGTCTTCTTCAGCTGAGCTAAGCTATTGTGATAAAACGACTGAAACATAATTGATGCCTTCGAAAGGAATCCGGAAGGGGCTTCATTTGCCCTGGTAGCTCTGTACCTCAGAAACTCTTACTTACTTAGAACTTGGGATTCCTACAAACGAAGAAAATTTCATCATTATATTGCATATAATTTCTCTTATTGACTTTGCTTAAACATAATGAAATATGACCTCTATTGTATCTATAGTATCTATTGTTCACCCTGACGAGTATTTAAAACATTTAGAATCTGCTGGTTTTCAAGTTTCTACAAAATCTGAAAAGATGGGTAACAGCTTATCCGAATACATGAGATGACCGTTACTCAGTGGTGTCCTGAGTTCACAAAATATACCCCTGAACTTTCTATATAGTTGGCATGCAGCGAAATGTAGTTGCGTATTTCTTGAAGGAGACAAGGAGCAGACATCATAATGGTGGATTGCTTTGCGCTTCAGGTTAGATAGAGGTGTAACTCCATTGTGGATAAGATTTTATTTTGGTAAATCACACAGTGTTATACACCAATATTAACTGATGACCACGTTTCGAGCACAAACTGTTGTTCATAATCATATCAAGATGTGTGAGTAACTTGACGAAAGTACTCGCTGACAACATTTGCCCCGGGGATCGCGGTATATATAACATGAGTTCTCAGAATTTTGAAATGATGATGGGCCATTCAATTCCGTTCCAGTGACTAAACCGTATGTACATGAAGAGCAGAGTGTGTCTAGGGATAATCCACAGTGACATCAGATAGTTGTCAAATCATAAATTCCATCGGTCAAGTTTGCAGTCATGTCCATCAGGCTACGTAGCTCTGCTGAAACGTATCTCTGACTGTGCAGGACTACTGGATATAGAGTTGGACTCGAGACGCAGAAGAGAGATCCTTAATTCCTAAAAGACCAGCCACCATGCTGACTGTTGTGAGTGCTGACAGTGACACGAAACCTAGACCCAATAGAGGACCTTCCGCTAAATGGACATAACCGTCCAGAAACGACAACAATTCGGAGAAGAAGAAGCGTTCAGAGAAGAGCTTCTCCTCTTTTCAGCAATATCATTCTCAAGGTGTACAGTCACATAAATACACATATGTATAAATCTGAAATGGACCATACCTATCTTAACACCAAATACGTAAGTTTTGCGTTTTTTTCTAATTGTATTTACTTCCCTCAACCCCAGGTATGAAATTTTATCCCACCCCTAATACCACTGGCTTTAACTTGACTCTCGTTCAATTTTATTTGAATTTTACTCAATCTCATCAACTGTATTACGTCACTCTGTTTACCAACTAATTTTATTTTAGTTTCTACCTGACTAAAGCTTTCTACACAATTCTAAATCGGTCGTCACAGATTTACAGTTCTAAAGACACATTTTTGAAAACATTCATTTATTGTATAGCAAATGAAACTGAATAGCTTGAGAATGATATCACTGAAGAGGAGAATAGCTCTTTGCCGAAAACTTTTTCTTTTATACGACTGAATACAGAGTATACCGTGACGGCGAGCCGCCACCTAACTTGGTCTGGCGGCCACTTTGGAAACTTGACTCAGAGAATTAAACAGGAGAACAAGACTTGAGCAAGGAAATAGGCAGTTTCGGCAGGAATTCTTATCAAGGTGTACACAATTCCACAATGAAATATCTAGTCATAGAATCAAATAGAATCAAATCAAATATTATTTACAGTTAGTCATCCAATGTCACCAGGATAACAACTGTGAGTCGGGTGGGGTTGAAGGCCATGGTGGAGGAAGACTTTCTCTGCACACGATTATTTGGCTGAAAGTTTGATTTGTGGTGTGTACCTCACTTTGCTAAGCTTAGTAATCGCAGGCGTATAAACTTAGGGAATTGAGGTGACAGTTTGTATAGAGAGTTGTAGAGGCCAAATCTTTATCAGTTTTGAGCTCCATATCCGCCACAAGGCTTTTTCAGTATTGAACTCAGGACTCTGAACTACACAGTTCCTTTACCTAACTGACCACGTTTGACGATATTCACGAAGGCATGGCTGTCGGCCTTCCGAGTTATGTTCGACTGTCTAAGTAACTGTCTCACTGCACAAGAACAGTTAAATTTATCAATGCACAATGTACTGACCACACTTGGTAGCTTATGCTTCACTTGTACATTGGAATTATTCAGCGAGTGGTGAATGTTGGACATTGTGTTTAGGGGGAAAGATATGTTTAATCTATTACTTTTCAGAATTCCAATGACAGTAATTAAGTGTCTGTGTGTCTCCTTTAAATGATAAAGTCTTCTACATACGTCTCGTCTGCACAGTTTGCAGGCATTACTCTCGTTCATAATGGAAACTTTAAAACTTTTTCCTGGATATCCGTTCTCATATAACAAGTTATCTATTTTCCATATATCATCGTGAAAAGTGTCGGTTGTACAGCTTTTTCTAATACTAAACCGCGGAGTAAACAGATGAGATTTTGTTGGTACTCAATTGAAATCAGCGTCACCAAATGGTTATATCGGCTAACCTCTGATTTTTCCTCAGAAAATATCCCACTTTAACCTACCGTCCTATCTTCTTATAAGCAGGACATCATGAAGTGATAAGCCATTTGCCTTTTCTGTTTCATATGTGGACTAAATTTATGTGTGAGACAATACTGAATGTTTTCAGAAGGAATTTAGTATTGGTTTTATTCTTATGCACTCAGCATAAAGAACAAGATTCTGATTTTCAATACCAGTGTCATAAAATTTCATAACGCGTCAAGAAAAGCATTTCCAACAGACCTACTCGAAGTTTTGTAGACAAATGTCTTCGCCGGCTCCATATTTAAAATCAAATGGCCAGCTGGCCAGAAAAAATCAACATTTTTTGACTGTGTGAAAAAACTAACCAAGAACCCATCGCTCAAAAAGTATGCAGGAGAAAATGAAGGTGGATTGGGCACAGTCTGAGGAGACCGTAGGATGACATCGCGCTCAAGACCATCCCTCTGTCGGAACCAGGAAATGAAAAGACGAGTCGGGCAGGTGTCAGAGCGTGACATGGAGGAGATAGTGAGAAAAAGGAGATGAGGGAATACTGTCACTGTTAGGGCCAGCCAGCTACAGAGGATAGACCAAAGTTGAGATGCGTTGTTAAAGCCCTAAGTTTCGCTTGGAACCCGAGAGAACATTAACGGTAATAAAGATAAAAGTATCCTTTATGTATCTTTAGCGGAACAAAAGCTTGTTGATCACATTTTTCATTGGACGATTCCCCTCTAATTTTGACATAAACTTCATATTGGCTAAGACAGTGTGTTACGTTACTTACAACCCAGTGTTTAATCAAAAATATATAGAAATCCACTTGAAGTCGTCACCATTGGGGTACACAAGGACACCGATGTTGTTGGCTTGTGCCAGTAGAGCCATACGGTGCGTGAATTAGCAGAAGTTGGAATTCATGGGGTGGGCGTCAGATTAAGTTCCAGTGGCAGCTTAATGATCTACCAGGTGTCTCATCTTGTAGCCAAAAGGTCTTGGTTTCGAACCCTCAGTGACTGCATTCTGCTTAAAAGTCCCAAGCTAGGACGAAACAGCTGTCCAGTACTCCCTGGTGGTTTCCCGATGGTTTTCTAATCGACATCAGCTCATGATGAAATCCTATAATCAATCAAATCACTTCAAACTAACACCTGAAAAATCCATTTGTAGAAAACAAAAACTTACCGCAACCCCTTGGCCATCTCGAATAAATCCGTGAGAAACGCCTGTTCTTGATTGTAATAATTTGGATCTGTCCCCAAACTAACGATTAGTGCAATGATATCCGTATCCTCCGCCTCCATTTTTGTTTTCGGTTCAAAAGTATGACAATTAAAATAAGTATGATGACTAAACTTTCGGATTTGAAATCCCTCCATATTCAGACAGTTGTCTTCAATCTCGATTGTGTGATTCACGCGACGCATACAATTCAGAAAAGCGGTTGTATCATGGCCAAGATTGTAAGCGTCAATTACCCGTAAATTTTGATAATAAATGGACATACTATCGTACTGATACAAAGCTTCAGCGGTACTAATATCATTCTCTAGTAGAAACTGATGTGTCAGATTTCGCATATTCCTATTGAACACACTAGGCGACATTACCTGTCCATCACGCCAAAGATGATAAGCATTTTGTGAGAAGGGATGATGGTGACAAATGGTTAGCGCGGGGAACGGTGATCTTGTATCGTAGATCACATTAATATTTTCAGAAACATCATAGATGAGATAATCTTGTACGAGAAGATATGTTGTCAATAGGAGACCGATAGTCATGATGAGGACAAAACAAAACCAGAGACCACGGAGAAATGGTGGACCTCGACGCATCCGCGCAACACCACGAATAGAGAAGGTATCACAGATGATTTCAAGGATACTTATTGTCTGTATGCGACGCTGGGGGGATTGTTTGAATTGGGTACTGATGGAGGAAGCGTTGTTTTTGGTCAGTTTTTCCGTGGGCGATGGTTGGTTGTCTTCTGATGCAACACTCAATGTAGTGCTATTATTGTTATTGTTATTATTTTCACCCTCAAATCTTATCATGACGTTTAGTTATCAGTGATGCGGTTGAATAGATAACATTTTGACGGAATGATATACGGATATTGTCCGCACCAACCTGAAGAATAAAACATAGACAGTGAATGAAATCAGTAAGACTGTAAAGTGGGTGAAATTTAATTAAAAAATGAGGAGAATTTTCCTCGCTGAAATAGTCGACACGGATATCATACTAACCAAAAGTTCCGGGAGCACAAAACATTTCTTCGTCTTCAGAAAATACCTCTACATGAACCTAAGTTTCGAAGGAGTATTGGGAGACCTGTAATATTCTCTTTAAAAGAGGAATTTCAGCATCCTTGTTAGAAGAATATATCCTTCACAATAACGCTAAGAATAGTGAGTTCTTCTCCAGTCATCCGCTCGTCTGCAAAAGCCTGCCTTAAGTAAAAGATCTCAGATCGCACCGTTTCTATGTCCATTGATAAATCATTTCGTCTGTTGCTGAGGTGGAGCCGGATACGTTGATTGTTCGACGCGTATCCTGTCTTACAGAAGGATTCAAGAACCGCTGAAGAAAGGCGATAATACTGACTCTATAAGAAATGTGACAATCGAACACCCTGTCAAAAATCATCATTCCATATCAGCAAACACCTCCTTCAAATAGTAATCTACAAAGCGAAGAATAATCTGCCAAAGGCAATATGCTTTAGTCTTCCGGCTGTATTGGTGAAGTCTTACAAATTCATTTGGAAAGTCTGGAGTTATGCATACAGAAGAAAATCACTCAACCACTTCTTCTATCATGGTAACAACCATGCTATTGGTTTCTACTGCCTTGATCTTGTCTACTTGTTTTTCTAACTCATAATATATATAATGTATATATAATGTAATTACTAATCATCGCTACCATCTTCCTAATATTCACTCCCACTCCCTCTACTTTCAATCTGACTACTTATCAAATATTTTGAAATAATCTGATGATGTAAACAATAGCCATAACTAATTTTTACTCTTGTCTGACAAAAATAATTCATCACTGTGTACAGCTGAGTGAGTGAACTCACCGTTGAAGAGAGAAACTTGTCACTGAACTACGTGTTGGTGTTTTCACACCATTTCAGTGGAAGGTTTAAAAAGAGGTGAAATGCTTTGAATTTTCTATTTTATTGTTGCTATCATTCCCTTGGGCTTCAAGTGTAATACAGGGCTTCAACAGAATTTCGCCACTTCGTCTTTTCGTCCACAGTCCTCTTTAGCTGGCGGCCCTACGACTGACCATGGGCTTTCATCACTTCCTCACCATGACAAGATCTCCCCGTGTGGCCTTCGGAATCACACTCCCAACTCATCTTGTTCCCCTCGAACAGTAGCATGAAGTGAGAACTAGTCCGGTGCTCTACTCAGGATGCGTCCGATCCATCTCCATTTCCTTCATCATATTTGTAAGTTGAACAACAGGCTCCTGGTCGGTTCGTTTCCCTGTCACAGTTTCTGGTTGCTAACTCTCTCTGACCACTCAATGGTCTTCAGTATCGTAATAGGGAAGAAAGCTCTCGATAGCAGCTTAAAACAGCCTGAGGCAAACCCAGTGAAAGTTTTCGACCCTATTTTCTAGAACTAACAAATTTAACAGTGAGTTCTCAAAAACTAGATTTTTCCTTTATGCTGAGGCGAAGTGGAAAAGATTACCAAATACGGATTTCGGAATGATGAAGGTCCGTCTTTTCACTCCCATTCTGGCTGGTTTCGCCATCCTTATTTGTTGGAATGTTGCTTCCTTGTCATATAAGTGATGGAGGTGACCACTCCTAAATTTACACTGTTGACAGAGGTCGCAACTTGTTGCTGTTGCTTGGTTGTCTTCATCACCTCCTTCTTCTCTACATTCACACTTGAAGTTCCAACTTTGCTGCCTGCCTCTTTTGCCAAATTGTGAGTGAATTCTCTGTGATTAATATAATTTATACCTATCATCTCTGAGGGTCAAAGGCGAAGTAGGACAGATTTTCTTACAAATGCCGTAGACATTTTCTCCAAACTATCACTTTCACCTTGGGATGGTGGTATGGAAACACACAACCCGTACTTTAGTACATTCCTTTTGTGGAGCGAATTTTCTTAATAATAATAATGATCTGCTTTATTCCAAAATTAGTACTTATAGTACAGAATGGAATTCCCAGAATTCGCCACAGTATTGCATTTAATTTACTCAAAATATAAATAAAATTAGCCACAGGAACGTTTCTACATTAACAGTAGGATTAGTGTCAAAAATGCGCAATAAGGTGACAATAATAACTATAATAATAACGGCGGTTTGTGTTTCAAACAATATTGTTGATACAGTATGGAAATCTTAGCATATTGTAGAATATTGAATCCAATGTTTTCTTGTCACAGAATGGTGATAGGAAAACAAAAAATAAGGATTATTACATAGCTTAAAGTAAGAGGATTATAAATTTAAGAAGAATAATAACTGTAAAACGCGATGGCATAAGGATGGAAAAAATTGTTTATTTACTAGTGGAAAGAAGGTTAGTTACTTATTCCGTGCCTGAAACTATTTTCATCACATGAAATACCTGCTAAATATTGTGTCGTGGAATGTTTATGCTTAGATGTCTTTCGAAATGACTTCTGGTTTCACCTGAGGAGATGCAAATTGAAAGCTGCAGGTAAAGTGGATGCTCATAGCCTGACATTTAGCAAATTTATTCCATGGAAATATCGGCCTGTCAGCAACAACGACGTCAATGATATGACAAAACTTGACACCACTATTGGCCCTACTGACATTCTTCAGAGTTCTACAGAGTATGAAATAATCTTTTTTAAGTAATTCAAGAAAGAATAAGGGCGAAGAATCAAGGAGAATAGGTAAGATGCAAGAGTACGAGGAGAGAGGGTTGAGTTATGCCGAAGTGGTTTAACTTCTCAATATAAAATGTAAGATGGCATATTTTACTAGAATTAATCCAAGATACTTAACTTCAGACTTGACTTCCACATCAATATCATCAATTTTACAACGATCGCGCGAATCGACAGCTTCATTAGTTACCTTTCTTTTAGATTTAGAAGTGAAATTGACAGTCTGACATTTGGAAGGTTTTAGTTCAAGTCCATTAGACAAATACCATTTGCTGACTTCAGACAGAAAGCTGTTCATCTTGGTACAACTTAGCTGTGAGGCGTAGGCAGTGATTCTACGTCATAAGGCAGTCCTTGTTTTTTGACATTTACGTGACTCAGTGAACCAGAAGATACCACGAACGAATAAGTGTATCTAACATATGCATATCAGTATTATCATATTGAAGCATAAGTCCACTTGGTCATATCAACTGTTTATACAATCATATTAATTAGGGACACGTACATAACAAATTGAGAATGAGTTCATTTCAACTGATGACACAAATCATAACAATCCGCCACAGTTTCACGATCTAAGACGTGGACGAACTCGACAGTTACTTTCCTGATAAGACTGTTGTATCTTCTGTGTCCAGTGATTCTTTCCTACATGAGCATCGGCAGTCAGTAGGCCCAAATCAAAATTCAGATTTTCAACACAAATGTTAGGTCAGTCAGTCGGTTACTTCATCTACATGGGTGGGAAACTTGCATTGCGCGTGCTTTAGGGAGCTCATTTCCGAAAGCCAGCCACAGACATATTGAAGATCAAATTACTGGCTGGTCCGACAGAATTCACAACAAGAAACTGTGGGAACAGACCAATCAAGAACCTGTTGCTTAAAGAATATGTTGCAGAAAATGGAGATGGATTGAGCACGTGCTGAGAGAACCTTCGAGTGATATAGCGTGTCAGCAGAAACGTTGCTCAGTTGGAAAAGGGATAGGAAACGACGAGTTGGCCGTGTGTCTAGAGGTAACATGGAGGATATCGTGATCTTAGGAGGTGGGAGTTTGTGGGCAATCGTGGACTCAGCCATCTGAAGAAGACAGCATAAAACAGAACAAAGGTCAGATATGTTCTGGCTGAAGCCCTGTGTTCAACTTGAAACCCAAAGGAACAATAATAATATTATTTCATTTTATTTTATTGTAGCTTGATTCCACACATTATTTTGGTACAAGTATGAAATTTTCAGCTTGTGATATCGGTAGCCCAAATTTAGCAGGCCGACCATAGATATCAGGGGTGCGTCGGCGGGGGATCGAACCTCGGACCATGTGCATCGTCGGCAAGAGTTCTAACCGCTGTGCCACCGATGGACTATATAATAACTGACCATAAAAGATACCCTATATGGGGAGTAATAAGATGGACCAACCTTGAAAACGGTCAAATAAAGTCGAATGTTGATAATACACAACTGTGATACAAGGTACATGGGTGAAGTTTCCATCGTAATTTCTTCCAACAGTTATGCTAATAAGTGATGGAGTCCACTCTCAGAATAGGAAACGAATTCGAAACTCCTCTTCTATAGTGCTGGATTAGCAAGAAAGGTACTCGTAAGATTGATCTGTAAAAATAGTTAAGCCTGGCTACCCGAGATATTCACTGGAGATAGCTATCCGTAAACTTAAGCCCCTTCCCTTTAACTGATGTGTACGAGAATAGTTTATTATCACTTCTAACCCACCTGGCTTTATTAAGTAATCCTTACCTGTTTATCTTAGTAAATATGCTGTGAATTATTTTTATTATTGTTACCAAGTCCCTTAGAGAAGTGTGAGATCAGAATATGTTCGAAGATAATAATATTCCACACAAATACACAATGTCACCTCATATTGTTTTTTCAGACAAACTCCTCTATCTTCCAATATGACGTTGTTCATATTTATTATGGGGATGATTGGCTTTTACCTTTTTGTGAAGGTATTTCTATCATTGTTATGTTTATAATAATAATTATTATTTTTTCGGTGACATTTTTTACACTTTCCTCATGGGAATTTATATTGACACAGAGAACTACTGACCTGGAAGGAATATGCAGCATATGCATGCTCATATCATC